AAAACCCAACTCCTATGGCAAAAATTGGGGGGGGCGGGGGGAGGGGACGATTATTGGGGGGGGGCGGGCGACGTAATGTGAACGCGGGGTCCACTCGACAGACGGCGCAATACGCCGAATCCACGACACGGGAAGCAGTCTCTGCGCGGCAGAGACCGGAAAAACGATTCGAGTACGCTTTGTTTGCTGGCATGACTCTCTGCCGCTGTCCTCCTGGGTACAATCCGTGTCGTTTGCGTCCAGCAACAAACACGTGAACCCCCGTCAAATCGAACCGGCACTCGTCCGCATCGCCAGCACTACCGTCAGCAGTCATAGCACTTTCGTAACCGCTGCCGAGGCGGCCGCGGCGGCGGCGGCGGCGGTTTACCTTTCGCCTTGCGAGGTCCGCGCAGATCCCTCGCCGCAGGTCTACCGTTCCTGTTACCCCGGTGTACTTGGTCACCCCCTGACCAATCAAAGGATGGGAACATAAGGGTGGGAGGTTAACGGCTATTATCCTTGTCTCTTCAGTTGAGAGTAACAAACGCGCTTCCGCTGTACCTCCCGTGCAGCAGATTGCGACGAAAAAAAACAAAAAGCCTTGGAAGACGGGAAAAAACTCCGATGCACCACCCAAAACAAACACAAGAGTGCCTGCAGGTAGGTGCCTCAAGCCGCATACTGTATTCCTCTCACGATAGATAACACTCTCAGCATTTTCACCACTCTGTGGGTGGGGGGGAGTGGTATCTTCGGTGAACCTACTAATGTACTGGTTACGAATGTCTTCACGTTTTGGGCTAAAAGTGAGCGTCAAAAACACTATCACCGGGTGTGGTACTCCTTGGGGGGGGGTATTGTATCTCTTGTGGGGGCTGTCATCTCGTGTCATGTTAGAAATCCCCACGTCCCTCCTTTTCCAGGCGTGGTGTCTGTCTACTGTGTGATATATACGGTACGCCCGCGTCCCTCCTTTGCCATCGTGAGAGCCTCGGCCTTAGCCATACGTACACTACCCGGGGCAGGGGCCGGTACCAGGGGCACTGGTTCACCGCCAAGCGTTTACACCAAGACGGGGGATCAACAAGTTTGGTATTTTTCACGTGAGGATGGGAAAGCAGAGCTAAGGTAGAGCCAGACCCTGAGGCGGGCGAGGGTGGCGGGCGTACTAATGATTTGCATGCCTTAGGGGGAGATACCCTTGACATGCACTCTGCTTACGTCGTGGGGAGTGGCCATGAATGTCCACGACGAGGACAGAGCGCCTACTGAAACAACTGACCTCTCTCGCAGCAGTCGCCGTCGCCTCGATGACTGCGTCCGGCGGCTGAAAGTCCGGCTCCCCCACGCACAGGGACACCACCCTCTCCCCCCGAGCCTTCATCTCCTGAGTCAGCGCGTGTACCTGGAGGAAAGGCAAAAAACGGTTCGGCCGCACAAAAACAGTCCAAATGTCAGACTCGCACGTGCCTTGTAAACTCTCTCTCTCTCTCTCTCTCTCTCTCTCTCTCTCTCTCTCTCTCTCT